GTAGTGGTATATTTCTAGCATTTTAGAAGCAATCATTTATTGTGCCTATTCATAAATCTGGCTCCACATCCAAAATAGAAAATTACCGTCCAGTGTCAATTTTGTCGGCAATTTCTAAATTATTTGAATCCATTGTACTTTCTAAATTATCTTATCAACTAAGTAGCCTTATAGTTCCAGAACAGCACGGATTCTTTGAAAAGCGTTCAACTATTTCTAATATTTTTTTCCTATGTTAATGAAGTTGTGGACTCTTTTGGTCTTGGTATGGAGGTACACTCAGTATATACAGACTTTAGTAAGGCTTTTGATAAGGTCAACCATTCCATTTTATTACAAAAACTGTCTGTTTATGGATTTGCTGGTTCGCTTTTAGAGTGGTTTCACAGTTTTCTAACTGATCGATTCCAGCAAGTAAAAATTGGGGGTCACATGTCAGGTTTACAAAGTGTGCCTTCAGGTGTACCACAGGGATCTGTTTTGGGTCCACTTCTTTTCATTATTTTTATTAATGATATGGGATGTAATTTTGATAGTGATTATCGTATATTTGCTGATGATCTTAAGATATTTAGAAAGGTTTCGAAATCTCGTGACATGTCTGTACTACAATCTGATTTAAATAAGTTACAAGACTGGTGTGCAAATAACAAAATGTTTTTAAATGTTGAAAAGTTTCAGTCTATTGTTTTCAGCAGGAAAATCTCTCCAACCCTACCGAATTATTTTATTAATAGTACAAAAATTACAGTAAAACAGTCTGTGAGAGATTTAGGTATATTACTTAATAGTTAATTAACTTTTATTCAACACCTTGAATTTATCATTTGTAGAGCTAATAAGGCACTTGGCTGCATAAAACGTTATTGTCGTGAGTTTAGAAATTTTAATTCCATCAAAATGCTATTTGTTTCACACGTACGTTCAATCCTCGAATATGGTTCGATAATCTGGAACCCACATTACAAAATTCATGTTGGTAGGCGTGAAGCAATACAGTTAAAAAAATTTAAATATATAAAATGGTTGCTGCCTTATTATGTGCAAGATAATTACAATATTTCATTAAATTATATGTTTCTTTCTACACTTGAAATTAGAAGAAGATATCAGGCTTTATGTTTTGTTTATAAACTTTTAAATAATTTGATTAATGATACTTCAATACTAAATTTAATTAATTTTCACGTTCCACAGTATAATAGCAGATCAAACCAATTATTCAAAATTTCGTTTGCACATAATAATTATCTATTTAATTCTCCTCTAAATGATCTTTTAAGAATTTGTAACATGTACAGTGTCAAATTGGACTTTTTTAATTTTAAATCCTTAATAGCTTTAAGCGTTTTCTGAAAGTTTCTTTGAATTAGTCAATTAGTATTCTTTAATTATGTTTATATGTTGCTTGTTTTCTATTATAATTTTATGATTACTTAATGTAAAGTATATTGCCGTTAAATAAAGTTATTATTATTATAAAAATTTTTCGTGGGTTTAAAACTTGTGTCGTAATGTGTTCATTACGTGTGGTTGTCGAATTTCCTGTTGTTCGCTTTTGCATCCCAGATCGCGGAAATCCGTGAAATTTTAATCACCCTAAAGAGCTGCAGTATGCAGTATAATTTATACATTTCCTGCTTGAGCTTGCCCGACTTTTCGTCATGTATTTATAATAGCCTCGAATCCATTTTTCATAAAAACAGCGCGGAAAAATGGAAATTAAATTTTCTCTTCAAGAAACTTTAGTCATAGATCAGGTTTATCTAGTCGGTTATTTCCCCACGGTGCCACTGCGAGACTTTTTCTAATAGTTGTAATCTTTGAGAGAGAAAAACAAATTTTGCTTGGAATTCACTTGGCCGTGCTTTTTCAACAAGATACACAATTTCCCAATAAAAACGTTATTTCAGCGCTTCGACTCGCATTCCGGGGAAATTGCGCCAATCAGACGATCCTAACACAAAAGGTGATTCAGGGCTATTTCGTGCTTTTAGTGGAAAAAATTTGCAATTTCTGAGACGAGTGACTGAAAGTGCACAGCACTTTTTTTCATGCTCTATGATTGTGGGTAATAGAGCCGTGAATTGCACTCAAATGGCAATTACGAGATGAATTTTGCCGTCTTCGAAGAGGTGAAAAGAGGAGGAAACAATGGCGTTTTTTGCTAAAATTAAATTTGAAACAGATAAAGCAAAACTGGCTTAAAAGTGATGATTGCAAAATTTATAACTTACAACCCTGTGTCAAAAACTATTAAAATGAAGCAAATTATAATGCAATGAGCAAACTATAAACATTTGAAAAAACAAAATAAAAAATATTAAAAAGTAAAATTTACTACATAGACTTGTGTTGAAAATTTTATTTAATAATAATAAAATTACTGCTAAAGAACATTCCCAGAAAAAAATTATTATCTTAAAGTAATAAGTTTCAGACATCATTGTTTTTTTAGAATTAAAGTAGAAAAAAATCGAAATGGTGAATGCACCGGAAAAATTTTAATAATAAAAATAAAAAATTGTTGATGGTAATT